GCCATATTTGGAAATCCTTAGCTAACATTCAATGTAATTGTGAAAGAAAACAATCTTCCTCCTAAGGGTTGGGAACCAAAAAAAAGACTAGTTTCATACTTTTATCCAAAATAGGATTGGAAGTTCTAGCCAGATCAATTAGAAAAGAAAAATAAATAAAAGATGTCTAAATTGGAAAGRAAGAAACAAAATTATTCTTGGTTTTAGATGCCATGACATCAAATGTAAAACCCTCAAGATTCCACAAAAATACTTTTAGAGCTAATAAAAGAATTGGATATAGTATATAATACAAAATCAACACAAAATCAGCTATATATCTAAACATTAACAATAACTATCCAAAAAGAAACTAAGAGACCAAGTCCATTTTTAAATTTTTTATTATTATTATTATTATTATTATTATTATTATTATTATTATTTGGATACCAGGGATTCAACCCAGGGGAACTTAACCACTGAGCTACATCCCAGCCCTTTTTAATATTTTATTAGACACAGAGTCTTGCTGAGTTGCTTGGAGTCTTGCTAAGTTGCTGAGGCTGTCTTTGAACTCATCATCTTCATGCCTCAACCTCCTGAGTTGCTAGGATTATAGGAATGTGTCACTACCCCCAGTGACAAGTCTATTTATAACATTATCAAAAGATGAAAATACTTGCCAGGTGCAGTGGCACATACCTGAAATCCTAGAAACTCAGGAGGCTGAGGCTGGCCTTGAACTCATGTTCAAGGCCAGCCTCAGCAACTTAGTAACACTCTTTATAAAAATAAAAAATAAAAAGGGCTGTGTTCATAGCTCAGTAGTAGACTGTCTCTGAATTTTATCCCTAGTATTGCCAAAGAGGGAAAAAACCCGAAATACATGGCAATAAATTTAATTGAAAATTATAAATCTTTGCCAATAGAAACTGGAGAAGACAGACATAATAAAGTGAGGAGACATACTCTGTTTTGATTGAAAACAAATGATAATATATATACTCAATAAAACTTTTATTTTTTAGCCAAAGATAATGCTCAAAGTGATCCACAGTAACTCCCAGGAGGCACATGATTTTTGAGTTATTATTTGCATTCGTTTAGTACACCTTTTATTGAATCTAAAAGGTGCTGTCGTGAGATAAACTGGGCCATGTAAGGGTACTCTTTCCTCATTAAGTCCTAAGCTTTTTTACACTAAAGCAGGGAGAATCTGTTCTGCCTCTTCAACTCAAACTGCTGAACAGAAATGGACCCACATTTTGAAAGGTCAGAGGTGTCMGCTCTGTGAGAAAAAAACGAAGTCAAAGTAAGACCAGGAAAGCAGTTCATTAGACGCTTAGCCCAGAGTAGGACAGCTCATTTGAACAGAAAGCTTCTTAAGCTAAAACTGAAGTCCCACCACAAAATAACCCAGTAACACACAGATCAGGGATTGTGACAGATAAAAGTCKCCTTCTTTACAAATTTGCTTAAACCTTTGTTAAATATGTCTATTTCTGATATAACCATATATATGAGACTAATCTTTCCAATTCAACACTTAAATCCAAATCACTCAAGTTACTATGATTACATGATGCATATTTTGGAAATTTGAGATTTTCCCTAACTATCCTTGGTTTATATTTAGACTCTACAGCTCAGACTATGATTGTAGAAAAAAATATCATTTAAATCTCTGTATAAGAAGCTTCTCTTTTATAAAATTGGGTTACAATTCACAGCAATTGCTAAATTTAAATGTTTTATATATATATATATATATATATACATATATATATATTATATATTCAATAAATAGATTTGTTGACATTAGTGATGCGTTAATTCAACCTCTATGTTAGTAACTATTTTACATGGCTTTTTAGTGTTGAACTTCCTTTTACTTTAGTATGCATTTGTGTGTGTGTGTGTGTGTGTGTGTGTGTGTGTGCATGTTTCACTTTGGAAACCTTTGAATTGTTGTAAGTAGTCCCCTGCAATGCCTCTTCACTCAAACCTAATCATTGATTTAAAATACTATTTTTTGTCATGCATGTACCTTAGAATGCCAGGAAGAGGGAAAAATCTGAAAAAGATGTGACTTGGTACCAATTGGAGTGGGGAAATAAAAATATTTGAGGACAGTKAATGATGATAAGTCTGGTATGATACAATTTTAGCCATGTTCCCATTTTAATCTGAAGGTATAATGATAGATATGGGTGTTCACATCAAATAAATTATCACGTTGTGCTTTGGAGCATGAAGTACAAAACCATACTTGAAACAGGGTGTTCTGCCCTAGATAGCACAAAAATGAAGGGCTTACACTGAATTGTGAATATCTGTTTCCTGTTGACAGAGTCTCTTGTATTTTGCCATTCAAATAAATATTTTTAATGAAAATTTTTCCAAATGTATAGGAATATTAAAACAATTTTAGAGTGAATACCTGTAAATCTAGATCGAATCACTAAGATTTTATATTTTTTATTGAACATACTTAAGGTATATAAAATGCTCTTATATATACTTACACTGTGAAATACTAAGTAGTCAAACAGATTATATAAMAATATTATTCCAAAGCTCTGTGTGTGTGTTCACATGCACTTGTATGTGCACGTGTATGTGTGTGTGTTTATGTTAAGAATACCTAATAGCCATTCTCTTGGTAAATTTTTAGCATCAATACAAAATTATTAACTATAGTTCTGATGGTGTACATAGATCCCTAAGACTTATTAATCCTAAATAATTGCAAAGTTTTACACTTTGACTTAATTTCCCCCATTAATTACCATTCTACTCTGTTTCTATTTACTTAATGTTTTTTTAAAGATTACACATGTACTTTATCAATATTCTATTCACCTACCTGTCCATTGATTCATCTCAGATGCAATTCAAAGTAAACAGTCCCCATCAGAGCCCTTCTATCTAAAACTTCTTTATGCATGTCATAGTTAACACTTCCCAAATCCCTATATTTTGACTGTTAATATTTTTTGGACCAAATCAGGCATGCTCCAGTCTTGAGGACTGTGTTCTAACTTCTCTTTTTTCTTTTCTCCAAGATATTCACTTGATCAGTTCTCTCATCTCCCAGTTTTCCAAGTAGAGCAGTTCTAACCACTGGCTTTAGTACTACACAGACTACCACCCCTCCCTTGGCAGTTCTCTATGAACACAGTTGGCCTGAACTTTGTCTTACAACCTTTAGCACCTTCTTTCTTAGGATGTCACTTACTTGTTGATTCCATTCATTGTTTTTATCTACTTCTCCCTMATTGTTGAAGGATTGTTGGCCCATCTTACTCCCATCCACATCTGTATCTAAGCACTCATAACCAAGTCTGCCTCAAAGTTGACATCCAGTAAATGCTATTTATTACATTGAAACTGCATCCACAGAGGTACTCTGTGTACATCTTCCCAGGAAGATATATTTATAAAAATATGTGCTACTACATGAAAACATCAAAGGGAAATCCCAAGGTTTTCATTTGGCTTTCTCAGGATGAGACAATTTATATRTGCAATTTGGGTTTTCACAGAATAGAGCCAGCTACAAGGAGACTGAGCTGGTTATCAAAAGGGCTTTATTCAACCTTCAGTTTTATTCTAACTGGAGCTGTTTTCTTTTTTTTTAATTTATTCTAATTTGTTATATATCACAGCAGAGTGCAATTCAATTCATATTACACAAATGGAGCACAATTTTTCATGTCTCTGGTTGTACACAAATCAGAGTCACACCATTCGTGTTTTCATACATGTACTTAGGGTAATGAAGTCTGTCTCATCCCACYATCTTTCCTACCCCATATCTCCTCCYTCCCCTTTGTCCTATCTAAGGTATGTCTGTTCCTCCTATGCTCCACATCCACTCCCATTATGAATCAGCATCCTTATATCAGAGAAGACATTTGGAATTTGGGTTTTTGGGACTGGCTTATCACTTAGCATTATATTCTCCAACTCCATCAATTTACCTGCAAATGTCATGATTTTATTCTCTTTTAGTGCTGAGTAATATTCCATTGTGTATATATGCCACATTTTCTTTGTCCAGGGCTTCTAGGTTGGTTCCACGGCTTAGCTATTGTGAATTGAGCTGCTATAAACATTGATGTGGATGCATCACTGTAGTATGCTGATTTTAAGTCCTTTGGATACAAACCAGAGTGGAATAGCTGGGTCAAATGATAGTTCCATTCCCAGTTTTCCAAGGAGTATTGAAGCTATTTTTTTCTAGCAGGTAACAAATTAAATCCAGGATTTCTAATATTTATACAGTTTTCTAACTTCACAATGAAGCTTAAAATTTATCTACATTCTCAGAATATATATATTGTTTTGGAGATTTTGGTATGTTCACTGGATATTCATTGGATGTTTACCATGTATCAAAAAGTCACTGTTTATTGAAAAATTATTATTTTTTTCTATCTGGTAGACCCTGGGAAACTAATAACCTGTTGTTAGATCATGTGGTTTAGATCTTATTCCAGATACAGGAGGATACTAGGGTCCACAAAGCACAAAAGTTTTGTTTTTATACCAAATCTTTTCCTTAAACTAGGAAGAATCAGCATTATGTGATCTAATTCTTWAAAAATAGTGTTTTTAAATAATTGTAAGAATAACACATGGCCATCTTTTCAAAATCTTTCATTACTCTCATGAAGATTACAACTGAAAAAAAGATAATTTTCCTATRATGTCACAGTAATTGGATGGTCAATTTAGATTTGAAAAACAGGTCTCATCCACTTTCATGCCGCTTCAGTAATTTTATGGTGTATCTGTATTCTCTCTTGATCTCAAAGTAAAAACACAGTTAATGCTTCTGCAGAATTTACTTTATTGACAAGCGAATCAAGGGAAATACATCATCAACTCCTGAAGATCCAGATAGAGTAGAAGGTGTGTCTTTACAAATTCAAGGGATTCGCTGAAGAAAAGTAAAAACAGAAGTGAAGGAAGATTTGAGAGCCCGCAAGCCAGAATAAAACACTGGCTACAATTCAGCATTTTCCTGGATGCTTTAGGATAATCTTCCCATCACTTTTCCTAAAAAATAATAAAATAAAATTAGACAAATACATCCTCAGTGCAACATCCCAAGTACTCAGCACAGAGGTTGGAAGCAGRTTTAGCTATGGCATGTCATGGTCCTTCCACTCATTTGATTCTATAGATACCCTTATCTATTATGTAGCAGAGGTTAATTAAATACACTCACAAGTGACATCTGGCCTAACTTTGGAGAGCATAAGTCTTAAACAAATCTCAGGGATTTTTTGTTGTTGTTGTTTTGGTTTGGYTTTTGGTACTGGAGATTGAACTCAGGGGCACATGACCACTGAGCCACATCCCCAGCCCTATTTTGTATTTTATTTAGAGACAAGGTCTCATTGAGTTGCTTTGAGCCTCACTTTTGCTGAGGCTGGCTTTGAATTCATGATCCTCCTGCCTCAGCCTCCAGAGCTGCTGGGATTACAGGCATGTACCACCATGCCTGGCAAATCTGTTTTGATAAGACTTAGATCTTTCAGCACCAATTGCTCATTCTCAGTGAGGAAATAGACATACATATGGAAAAGGCAGAAGTAACAAAAGGAATAACAGCAAAGAGACTCTGATGTCATAGTTGTATCCTGACAGAAGATGTAAAAAAATGAACCAAATATTCATGTATTTGTCATTTTCTAGAAGACTACACATTCAGGACCTCTTATTAGTATGCACSCATTAATTCAAATTTTGTTCTACCCCACTGACCTTCCTGAGAAAATTCAGTATTAATTAGTGAGTTATGTTATACACTAACCAACGTGTTCATTACGAATTCATGTTTTAAATTAAAAATAAATAAAAATACAAGGTGTCAAAATTATTTTTATGTATATGATATATAATTTTTAAAATAACCTAAAATAAATCAAAACTAATAATAACAGAGTAAMGTGATGATCATTATTTTTAAATTATTTGTTTTTTGTTTTTTGTTTGTTGCTTTTGACAATTTGTTTTCAATCAATTTGCCTGAGTCTTGTTTCTTCAGTCTCTATTGTGAGGTATGGGTAGAACTTTCTAAAATGCTTCAAGAAAAGCATCTCAGTCTTATTCTGGAAGTTTTTGCTTGCAAGGGTCAGGTGTGGTGAGTATGACACTTACGCCACTGCCTTACAGAAGGAACATTTATTGCCATATGTTTGGCCATCGGAGCCACAGTGGGGGTTGGATTCCCGAGTACAGAATACCTTGGGATCACGGAACTCTCCACAGTCGATCTACAAAGTAAGCACAGTGACATTTACATCAGCACCTTCTATCTCAAGGACTCCTCCAAACAGAAGCTTTGGACATCGAAATTTTAAAACCACACACAATAAATATATATACATATATATATATATGTATATATATATATATGTATGTATATGTACATACATGTGTGTATATGTGCATATATGTATACACACATATATATGCCACAAACATATATGTGTATACATATAGAGAGATATATGCATGGATTTATACATATATATACATATTTGCAATATATATGTATATAAATAAATACATATATGTATGAGTACATATATAAGATATATACATTTACTTATATATGATACATACGTATATTTGTGACATATATGTATATATAGTTGTGACATAAGAACTTCCTGAACTAGAGAATAGCTTTCATTATCTGCTTATGTAGAATACATTAAATACAATTGAGACATTTTCTTTAAGACATAGGAAATTCCTTATAAGAAATACATTGTACTATTGTATTCAGGAATACATTAACAATGTCCAATGCTATAGTTAAGAATTTTTTCTCCAACAATAAATTACTCCAACTGAGAGCAGTTTTGGGGGTCATTAAATGACAGTTTGAAAAACTGTATTGATGTGCTCTAATAATACTTTTTCTGCATACTATAAAAATATAGGTGGGCTARCGCTGTAGCTCAGAGGCAGAGTGCTTGCCTTGCTTGTGTGAGGCACTGGGTTCGATCCTCAGCACCACATAAAAATAAACAAATTATATTAAAATAAAAACATAGGTGATCATTTCAAGGGCCCCCAGACATTACCTAATGTTTTATGATTTTTTCAGTGGATTCAGCATCACTTATTATCCCTTGAAAACCAGAGTCTAATGTCTTTATATTAAGTTATTTTGCCTCAAAGTCTGTTTGTAGAATTTGAATTTTTGTGCCCACTACAATAATTTAGTAATGACTGCCTAAGTTGCTGTGTTTAGAAGAAGTCTGAGGTTGCCTTTAGTCTTGTTGAGACTATGTGTTTTGACTGATTAATAACCWTAATCATGGGAAGGAATGATGTCACCTGTGCACTAATATATTGGCTCAGTTATAGTTGTATTTCAAAAGGAGTCTGACATTTTAATGCAATGTCAATTTGGTGAATGTTGTGCAAATAAATTTGTGCCTTTTTTTGCAGGGTACTATCAATATGAAGTAGCTTAAACTGATTGCCTTCTAATAACAGCTATGTGCATGTAGTGGCATTTACATGTGAATGAAGGAAACTTGCTTTATCTCTGTTCTAGTTCCATTAAAATGTTTTATAATTATCAAATGCTTTATAATATTTAGTTACTTACATATAGATTACTTCAGTTGGGCCTAGCAATAATCTTGAGAGAGTTCTATTAGCTATATTTTAATAATCAGTTGAGAGATGGGAATTCTGGTTTTCTGGAAATTTAAGTGGCTTCCCAATGCTTGAACATATTTCTTCTCATTGCTGGTTCAGAATTTCCAACAGGAGAGAATTGAAGATCAACTATCACTATGTGCCCTTGGTCGCACTTGTAGTAAGGACATGTAGGTTTCATTAAAATAGCTTATTAGGTCTCATATACAACATAAAGATTATCAGTCCTTCAATTGTACCATCTGGGGAATTCATGATAAATGAGTATATTTTAGCTGTTCCTACACCAACACAAACAAAACAGAGTACTTATTTGAGGTGATGGATATGTTGACTATGGCCATCCTTTTATTATCCATATTTATCTCACAACATCATGCTGTATATCTTGTACACAACAACATTTATCTAAAAGATAATGTTTTGGGAAAATATATGAACACTCAAGAGGAATCATTTTTTAAAAGATGTTAGCAAACCACTGTACACTAACAAATTTATCTGAAGGTTTGCATGGGAAATTTATCATTGAGTCATACAGTTAGGTCAAAAACATATTTTTAAGTTTAAAGTACCTAAAACTGCAAACTGCACATTTTTGTTGAAATTTGACACTAAATACTCTTGAGTCTGGATAGTGTGGGGCTTATCAGCTCTGGTMCTTGTTTTCCCCACCACCCTGAGGGATAATCCTATCCTTTCATCCTACTTCCAGAACACAGATCGTCCCCTTGGGTTTTGAAATGGACCCAAGGCTGGACAATCTTGAGACCTGCATAAGTTACAGGGCACCTTTATCTGGAAAGCTTACGTATTTTATATTTAAGTCACTAATGTCTACATTCACAGCAGTGTGCTTATTTCAACGAGGTATCATCGTTGATATTTTATCACACGGTTCTGGGTGCTGGTCATCCAAAGAAGAATTGGTAACCACACTGTATCAGGAAGCACACAGTCTCATTTGCATTAGAGCAGCAAAGAAGAGCTGGGATAAGGACAGGGCCAAGCATGATAACTGCTTCACTGGGACCAGCACAGGCAGGAGGGAAGCTGAGCACCAGGCGGCTCCATCTAGAGTCTCAAGACAGTGAGCAAAGTAAACAAGAAAGTCTCTTACTTGAAAGAGACGGTTCCTTAAGGCACCTTTCCCTGGCAGGCGGCCCTTTGATCTTGTGATCCAGCCTCTTTTGTCCTTTAGAAAGCAGATATGGAAGAGGCACTTGGGGAGAGCATCCACTTTGAGAGCCTCCAGACCCTGCCTCCCTYAAGCCCATTTGTTATTCCCTGCTTATGTCCCCTGGAAAGGGGACCAGGAGGGAGAAGAATTTCAGTATATCAAATCCAACCAATCAGCATAGCTCCTTAGAACAGATGGATTTCATTCCTTTAAGTTGCAGTGGTCTGCAGCAAGTACGTTCTGCTGATGATTATGTGTGTCACCTTAGACGAAGCACTCCATGCTCAGGCCTCAATTTTCTTAGCCAAGTAACAAATGAACCAAAGAACATTGGATCTGCCTGGTTCCCAGAATCTCAGGGTTGTTCAAAGGGGTCAAAGTTGGTCATGTAAGAGTTGTAGATAATCATTGGGCACCATCTGAAATAGTTCTGGATTAGAGTGTAGACAGTAACCTTCTCACTTGAAGTCTCTCCTAACTGAAGCTCTGAAAGGCATCTGCAGCTCATAGAAACTGGCTTGCCTCTGAGATTATGTGTTTTTAATGGCCCTTTTTGGTTTAATGGTCCAAGATTTAGCAGTGACTACTTTCAGTGAAGCAGCTTAAATAAAATTCTGAAGTTCTTCAGATGGGTGAAAGAAATAGCAACTTTGGCCAAATGCTTCTTCTTTTATATCTAGAGAGCTCTCTGTATTCACTGTGTGAGAAATTTTAGCATGGTGGCCAGGGACAGAAGAAGTACCACTCTCTGTGGGCCCAAGGAATTGGGGAAGATGAGAAATGACTCTGCAGAGTTACGWATGAATCCCTTCCATGAGGCAGAGTGACACAAGAGAATATTGGGGCTAGAAAGAGAAAACAGTTCTCACATACTRGGGAGAAGTAGACTAAGATTTCCTAATGTCATGCTTTTCCTTTGCCAGAATTTCTTCTCAACTTTTATATTTTTAATTTGGGCTCCTTTAAATAGAACCCAAATAACTAGTTCCTTAGTAGAAGTCAAAGCAGGTCTAGACAGTAGATGATGGGAGGATTCCTTTTCTCCTTTGAAGTTTCATGCATGAGACAATTAGAAGACCCAGGAGGTCTGCAATCCCTCTAAATATGATCAAAATGCCCCTAATGCTTCCGAAATGTTAGGGGTTGTCCTAGTGGATGGAATTAGAGTGACCTGGGTTTAAATGTTGCTTCCTTCATTTATTAGCTGCATTGCATTGTGGAAACATTTCACTATTCTAAGTTTAAATTTCTTAGAATAATGTCATGATTAATTCWATAAAAGCACTTTGTAAAATACCAAGTAATATGTGGAAGATTTATGTCGTAAACACCATCTATGTAAATTGTATCACATTCCAGAATTTTTGGAGCTCATTTTTATTCCTCATATTTTAATGATATTTATTGTATTTTGTGTTGTTTAGGTGGTGTTGAATTTAAGAAGAAATTTCATTTATCAACTTTGGTGTTACAGCTTTAAGACTATGTCAAGGCTCAGAAGAATGATATTTAGTATCAGCCTGACCCCTTGTGGTTCTTCAAAGAACTGTAGTTTCTAAAACATTTCAGAATGGAGTGAACCTTTCAGTTCCCATAATAGTCAACAAAACCATTGACTTAGTTGAAAAATTGAACTTTCAGGGTCATCAACCAAGTCAACTAAAGACTTGTGGTCACAAATATTTTAGTGTAGCTTTTTAGATGAACAAATAAAACCAGTGGAAAATTGCAATCTCACAAGCACACATGCTACATAACACACACACACACACACACACACACACACACACACACACACACGTGTGCTACAAGTGTAGGACAACATCTCTTTTCCCCAAAACACTATCTTTGCAACTAAATCAACTCCATCCTTCACCAGACCAGTTTTCCTAACCCCCTAATCCTTCTCTGCCTTGATGTCCCAGTCCCTTGCTTGTTCCAGCTCCTACTCTGCTGAAACTATTCTTTAAAAGATGCCTTTCAGACTACCCCTCTTGGTTGTTTACAAAAAGTTTGTGATTCCCTATGGTATGTACTTTTAAAAGACTCTTTATTACTTCAACCTTTTAAAAACTCTTTGTAGTGTTTTGTAATATGTCAGTTTTCTGGTTCCCCAACTACTTATTCTCTTTATAAAAAATCTCTTTATCCCTCTTTGGCATTAATCATGTTTATTTTCAAGATAATTTAATACACTTGATTTTCTCTAAGAACATGTATTTTTCCCAAAGAATACTGATAAATCCCAGACTTTTTCCTTGAATTTCATCAACATCTCAAACTCTAATTCTGAATTGTCATAGTATATGACATCTCTAGTCAATAACTTAATATGTATTTATGTCCAAAATATAACTCTGTATCTTTCCCTCTAGTTTTACACTCTTTTTTCCCCATTTTTCATAAGAACATCATTCTTTAGATTCCTCTGCCTGCCCTCAGCCTGAAACATTGCCATTTCCTGACTCTTGTAAATTTCCTTTTGTATATTTTTTTAACCTCAATAAGACTGATTTCAAATTTACTGCCTGAACTAGCTCTCAACATTATTTGCCTGAACTGATAGAGTAAGTTCTGCTTTCTGTCTTCTTCTCCTCCTGGTTTCAAAACTTTTTTATGTGAACAGAAAAGTTATTTTGTACTATTGTTTTTGTCATATTTTTTGTTTCAGAAATTATGATGAGCAAACCTGTAATCTCAGTGGTTTGGGAGGCAGAGGCAGGAGGATCTTGAGTTCAAAGTCAGCCTCAGCAAAAGCAAGGTGCTAAGCAACTCAGTGAGACCCTGTCTCTAAATACAGTACAAAATAGGGCTGGGGATGTGGATCAGTGGTCCAGTGCCCCTGAGTTAAATCCCTAGTACTAAAAAAATAAATAAATAAATAAATAAAATAAAGGAAAAAGAAATAAAGAAAGAAATGATGATGATMACTATCTCATATTTGTTTAGATAATTAAAGAGCTCAAAGTTATTTTCCATGGCCTTCTATTGCTGCTTCCAGCCCTGGTCATATGGATCCAGTGGTCCTGAGGTGTTGGTTTCCTGGCTGCTCTGCTGCTGGCAGACAAGCCAGCCATGTCCTCTTTCTGAGGCTTTGGTTTTTCCATCTCCAGTTAAGTTGTAGATACTGGATAACATCTCCAAACCACATTCAGATATCTGTAACTTTACTAATTTTAAGTAAAATCAAGGTAACTAGGACCATTCAAGAGTCCTAAAYTCATTCTAATCATGGAACATTGTTTTTACTAGTTGTTTTAAAACCCACCGATATTTATCTTAAAATAAAAAAGAAYAAACAATTATCTCAAGAAATATTGTACAGAATATATTTGTAAATCATTGCCTTTGAATATGTTTGCTCTGTTTGTTCCAATCAGACTATTCATCTAAACAACACTTTAAGGATATGGTTCCCAAATACAGAGCCTGGTAGGAAAATAGAAAACATTAAAAGCAAYGTGAGTAATTAAAAAAAAATTATTCAGTTCAAAGGACTATTTTTTTCTGAGAATGTCTTTTAAACTTTTTGATGTTGTCCCACAATTTCTTTAATGAAATGCTTGCTGTAGTAAATAGTAGTTTTCTTTTACTGTTCTTATTAATATGTTATTTAAGACCAGTTTTCCTAACCCTCTAATCCTAGGGAAATGAAAGACTTGGTCAAATATGAATCATTTACATTTATAGGGAAAACTTTATTGGAACATGAATTCCAAAAGTCTGGGAACATGCTCTCTGTTGACCATGAACAGTCTTTATGAAAGAATGTGAAATGCTTAAAGGTCTATAATTTAAATTGCTAACTATAATCTCCCATTAGATGATTCATCATGGAGAGAATTCTTGGCACGCAAAGAATGACTTGAGTGTTGAGATGGACTTCCTTTGGTCTTGTCTGAACCTGACCTGAGCAGGCATGCTCCTGCCTGATGTGAATTTCCTTTCCTGCCCCAGKTTCCTTCCAGCCATGCAGAAGAGGAAGGGTAGCCACGACATGATCAGCAAGGGCGGAACCTTCCCTGTCCTTTCTATTTAAGTGGAGGAAAGACAGCAGTCTTGACAGGTCGGGCTTAGTTCATAGTGATTCAAATATTTAGTGGGGAAAGAGGTCTTAGAGATCATTGAATCCTACCCCTCATCTTAAAATTGTGGCACCAAGGCAATGGGAGAGAAGATATGTTACCCAAATCAAAGAGCAAGTGAGTATTTGAATTAGGACTCATCTGCATTGTCTGGCTCTAAGGCCAGTGCTTTTCTCTGTACAGATTTCTCCTTGTTACCTGAGAAAAGAGCTCAGATTTTATTCTGTATGTGTGTCACCTAGATGATAATTTAGAATGAAGATCCAGACCCCCTTGCCTCTGCAATTATTGTTCAGTGTCTTGTAGGAGGATCTATATATCTGAAAAACATCTCAGGTGACCCTGAAGCAAAGAAACTATAAGACTTCGGCCCATCTAAAGGAATAAAATCAGTAAATAGTGGATTTTACATAAACTTTAGAAAACATGAATTAAAATCTGAGCAATGAAAGTCCAAAGAAAGGAAGTGATTTGTATGTTAATGAGAACACTGGGATTTCATGCCTCTTAGATATATCTCATTTCTCTCATCACCATATTTCACTATGTGAAACACAGGCTGAGTTTTGTGCTCTTTTCATGTGTGTGTGTGCCTTTATATTTAAGGTAGAATTGCTACTAATTAACATACTGTGAGTCAATTTTAAAAGAGCAATACAAACACACATGCATATATGTGTTAAACACACAAAAACAGAGGTAATTAATTATAAAATATCACTAATTTTAAATTGCATCTTAATTTCCAAGATGATAAATTTGAATCAAACAAAGTGTTGTGCAATATAATGGGTATATTAGGGTTGGAAAGTATTTTTCAACTTCTTTGCCAACTTCAGTCAGTTGGCAGTAGTGTCTGGAAATTTTGATGCCAAGAGTTCTTAGATACACCAAGACTAAACAACAACTAGTGTAGTCAGGCAGAGCGTCCCATGCGTATAACCTACTTGTGGGACTTTAGCAGGAGAATCAAAAGTTTTAGTCCAGCCTGGGCAACTTAGCAAGACTCTGTCTCAAAATAAAAAATAAAAAGGACAGATGATGTATCTCAGTGGTAGAATGCCCCAGGATTCAATTACCATTTTTTAAAAACCAAACAAAGAAAGAAACAAACAAAAAATAGTGTCTAGATCATTGAGGATATAAGAGTAGAACTGACAGAGAGGACAGCACTTATTTATATCAGTTTTTGATAGTTAGATCATGAAGGGTAGTAAAACATGTTGAATTAATTGAAAGAAAAAAAAGCCTAACAATGAAAACAAATTGTGAGCATTCCAATTTTCAACCCAACATTGTGTTTAAATTTGACTGTGCCAGTCTATGTATCTTCAATTCAGAACATTAATATTAAACAAGTTCTCTACTTTCAGCTCTTATTTCTAAAACAGAAATTATATTGCTGTCCTAACTCCTCCAGAGGCTAATTACTAATCAATAAGTAATCCATATGTAACTTTTATAGTTTCTCAAATATTTTCATAGAGCTTATGCAAGTTATATATACTTTCAATTCTAGGAAGTGAATAATAATATTCCTTTTCTTTAACTATCGAAATTGCAGCTCAGAGAACCCAACTTCCCCACCCAAGATCACATAATGAAATCAGGGATAGAGCCTAAATTTTATCTCATATCTGTCCTATTTTTAATTTATATTCATAGTATTCTGACAAAATATACGAATGCATACATAGGCTATTTTAAATTTAAAATAGTGTACTCGTAGAAAGATGGTAGTTTAAAAAAATCATCATTTCAGCTAATTTCTGCATTGGGCCTGTCTGCTCATTGTTTTGCTCTTTCACATCATAAAGAAAACTTTTAGGCCAGGGAATACCAACCAAGCACCATCCAGGTAAGAAAAATAGATACAACTAGGCACTGACCTGTCCTCCTTGGCTGACGACACCTGAAAAAAGTGTAAAATACAAATATATAAATTCAAGCAATATTTTTTTGCATGTGCAGATTGAGATTTGCAAATTTAAGTAATCCCTAAAACCTGTTCCTGGCTCTTGTCTATCTCAAGAAGTTATGGCATGTAGTTTAAATTTTTATATCTGCTCACTTTTTTAGGGAGCAGAAGAAACTTGGAAAGTTATGTTGTAAGGACACGGGCCATGAAGGGGCAATATTTATTGGAGGTTAAGGTGAGATGGGAGAAAATGGTCTAAGGATCTGAAGATGTCTGTGATACTACTGGCCTAGTAATTAATTGTCTATGAGGATGGACTTATTCTCTTTGGTATTATTTTGGAGAAGTTGGATTGGAAAATCTCCTCTAACATTGGTATTCTCAAATGAAGTCCATGCAGTTCCTCCCCAAAGCCTTTGTTACAGAGTTGGAGAGTCCACTTATCATTGAGCTCAGAACGGAGATGCTAAAGTTTAAGCCAAATAAATGGTAAGGACCAACCCATTCCCTTCTCTAGGCCTCATTTCTCCTTCCACATCTCTCCAAATTCCTAAAAGAGGAAAACAATACACATATGCAGTCTTGTTTCTCTTTCTCTTCTTCCTTCTGAACTAGCCTGCATGATTTTAGATTGTGAACAGTTAGTTCAGAGGTTAAAAACTGAAACAATAAAAATCCTAGGTCTAATCTTGGTACAGGCTGCTGAGTTTGAGCCAAGGCCATCTTGTGAGAATTGTGGATGAATGCGACACATCTGCAATGCTGGCCATCACTTAAGAGAGGACAGCTGGAAATACCTCAAAGTGCACTCTGTGTTAAAGAGGATAAAGAGAGAACAGAACTTTTAAATTCGAAAGGCAGTTAGTAATAATTTCCATCAGTGTTTACCAACCTCATGGATTCATAACTAGCAGAGTAGGTGGTTATTAAACATACTAGTTCTTTGGAAAACCCCTTGAAAATTCCAAGATAGGATCTGGGAGTCTATAATTTGGTAAATACTTTCAGTGATTTTTATGGCCTAGGAAAATTACTACAATTAACAATTAATTCTCCCTTGTGAAAATATGATTTTAATTATTGCAATAGAAAAAGACATTTGTTGAACACTTACTAAGACCCATCCACTCTGTTAAGCACTTGACATGCATTTTTTCTCATTTAGTTCCCCATAGAGAGGTAGTCCTTTCATATCCCATTTTACATATGAGAAAAAATGAGGCTCAAAAAGGTCATAAAGCCATAAAATGGAAATGCCTGGACTGAAAATCATCTTTCTCTGGTTCAACATTTTGACTGTTGGGCACATTGTGCTCCCAATAGTAGTATGTTTATGAAGTACCCATGCTTTGATAAATTTGGCATATAAATCAATCAGACACTATTAATGATCAGTTCATCTTTGTAAAGAGAAGCAACAAGAAGATAGCAACATATTTCAGGAACTGTATTTGCAACTAAATTTTAACCTAGTCAAGTCTATTTTTTCCTCCCGTATCAGGAATTGATTGAACTACTCATTAAAGTTATTTGACATTAGTAGTCATGTTTAATTCATAACATCACAGGAATCCTTTATCCAGTTCTTTTCATATTTTAAATATATTTATTTATGTAAATATGTCCAGTGACTGTGGGCAGAGGCTTCTCCAGAAGCTAAGTCTCATAGAAAAATTGATTCTAGAAGTTCAAGTCATTTAAAATCTTATATACACCAAAACCCATCTGCTGTTGTCACAGAAAACAATAGCTCATACATGGAAAGTACAAGGGCTTAGTCTCATTTCTAGCATTTTATACAAGAAAGAATAACTCATAGAGTTTAGACATTTCTCCATTGACAGTTACTTATAGAAGAGATGGGACTAGATCTTGCTTGGGTCTAGACACCCTAGTGAACACACCATCCACCCCAACGTAGAAGACTAGAATAATAAGGAAGAAAAATAGTTACAAATGGTCCTGTCCATTCAGATAGACCTGGTACCTAGAAATCTTTTGTCTCCAGAGGAAAAGAAATCATACTGAGGTATGATTGTCTTTGAATTCCTTCTGTTGATAAAATATACAGCTGTTGTTGATTAAGGTGGCAAATATATCTCCCTGCTTAAACATTGTTTAATTCACAGAAAAACATGTTTCTGCATTCTAAGGCTCAGTAACTTCAAGAATTTCCTTATTGAGTTAGCATTTCTCCTTTGTTTCAATATTAATTATTTGAGTGCCTTTGTAATAATAACAAAGGACACAAGAGCTTTCCTTTGTCTTAGAAAGCCAAGAATAAAATTAAGGTCAATATTTTAAAGCAATTACCCATCCTCCAAGACTAGTTCTTTGAAGCAAGCATAAACTGTGATGTCTACAAGATCTGGATTCAAATTAGAAATTCTATTTACTATTTGCAGATACTCTGACAATTTTCTTAACTTCTCTGTGCCACAGTTTCTTATATATAAAACAGGGATCTGAACTCCTTATACTAATGAATAAGGAGATGATACATAACAGCCCTTAGCACATGCCTAGAGTAGAGGATATGCTCCGTAGATGGCAATTCTTTTTTACCCTTGTCACCATCATCATTTCCATCATCAGAATCATTATCAGCCTCATTATGATGATCTATCCTAATAGGTCTTTCATATCGAAATTGTTAGGATTTTTAAAATAGGGTGAAGAACTACTCTTCTCATCTACAGTTCAGTATAATACGGGGTTTTAATTTTAGGAAAACAACTCACCTGAGAAGAGGCAGAAAAGAGCCAGAGAGAGGAGCAGAAAGACACCTGATAGTTTCATGGTGTCAGCTGGCTCACTCAGATCAAGACTGCTTTGTTGAGCTTAGGTTCTCTGTCAAGACACTTCCCAGAAAGCACTACAACTACATGCTCAGACATTTATATAGACAGGATAAAGGGAGTTGAGATCTCCACCTTCTTTTATAAAAATCACTCTCTAAACCCATATGCAGTCCCACACACTTTAGGCATTTATGAAAAAAAGTGCTGCATGTTCCCCATCCACCTTAACAATTACGACAATTATGTGAGTCGCACCTTAGATCTTATTAATAGAGGATGTTATTTTCTACCAGTAGCCTACATTTTCCTAACAACTGATACATCCTCCCTGTTCTTCCCTCTAAAGCTTCACTACATTAAAGGGATGACTCACAGCTGGAGCTGCACTTGCTCCATACGTGTCTCTTTCAGACAGGTCCCTCATGTCTGTGGTCCAGATGAGTGACTCCAGGGAATGGAATCCCTTGGGTGTAACTTGGATTTTTGGAATCCAAGTCATCCAAGTGTTGTACCTAAAATGAAGAGGAGTTTTACCTTGTCACCAGAACGTCATCAGAACAAGTGTATTCTGGGAAGGAACCAGCTTGTTAATTTTAAATCATTATTGCAATCAAATGCCAGTGATTATCATCTTTTGAGGCAAAATGGATTCATTATTTTTACTTTGTTGAATATTATTTAAAAATTACTGAATTGAATACCTGAAATAAATAATATTTAATATTTCTGTTTATTGTGAAAAATAAAAATTAAATAGCTATGATAAAGATTTTTAAATGTCACCCTCTTAGAAAGTTAGATGAGTTTCATAACTACAATGGCCAATTTGATTATAATAGGCTAGATCACACATCGGGATGCCAGCACTTTCTTTGCAAGGAACAAAGAAGGAATAGTGAGAGTGATAGCTAGAAAATCTGTCTTGAGACATAAACTGCTATTTAAAATACCTTAAGTAACAAAATAACAAGTTAAAACATGGGAAGATTATATAAAAATGTGCCCAAATGAAATATAAGCCATTAAGTAATACAACTAAATAACTGGTTTTCTTTTAGTTGTTTTGAGAAAACATATACACAATTCGTATGTGTTTCTTTATCATAAGACATTTGATTTTGGAAAGCTGTTTTTTGAAATTTTAACTTGATTTATTGCAATATTTAGGATGAGGGGCTGGGGATGTAGCTCAATGGAAGAGCTCTTGCCTAGCATGCAGAATGCCCTGAATTGAATCCCCAGCATTAAAAAACGAAAGACTTTCAATATTTAGAATGACTTTTATGTCTTCAAAATGGGAAGAATTTTTTTATTGTGTTTGATGATAAAGCAATATGTTACTGCTTTGATCCAAATGAAGTGTGACTGTGATAAAAACAATTATGTCCTTTTCATTGTTTTTTATTTGATAATTAAAAATAAATAAAACATCTGAGTAGGAGTAAGGGTGTAGCTCAGTGGTAAGGAGAGCACTTGCCCAGTATTCTGGAGACCCTGGGCTTGGTCACCAGTGCTGCAAAACCAAACGAATAAAAACCCCTGAGCATAAAGAGCAGATGAAGGAAGGAAGGAAGGAAGAGGGAGCATGAATGTGAGAGTGAGGAAAGGCCCAAGGAGTGAGAGGAGGCTTAGGCTTGGCAAGTTCTAAAAAGTTTTCACTCAAAGGTGTTGTGATCTCTTTCTTTCTCTCTCTCATCCACACAACCTGAGCATCCCCCACAGAAGGTTGTGAGTCAGATATTAGGCACTAAATGCTTTGAAGAAACTGATGAATAACCTTAAAAACAATATCTAAATTATGGGATGAGAAGGGTAGGGATAATTAGAAAAATAACAGTGACAAATCCTTAAAGAAAGCCATGAAAATTTTAAATAATAGTGGAACAATTCTACGTATTCTCATTAGGTGAGATAATATAAGAAACAATTCTTTGAAACAGACACATTACATGGTCTTTGTTTCGGTGATGCTACTACCTTCCTCCTCCTCCTCCCCATCCCATTTCCAATGTTTCCTCCTCTTTTTCCCATCTCCTTTTCCCTCCTGGGACTACCATGTATAGGGTCAAAGTAACAACAGTTTGAAAGCATTGACCAATAACAAGAAGCAACGTATAACAGTGGTAGTTGGACATGCTTCATCATAACACTCACAGTGGCCTTTCTAAAACTTCTGTTTAAACGTTTTCCCCTCTTCCCAAAGTTTCATTTTTAGTCGTTACTTCTCGTGCTTTGCTTTTAACTTTTTATGGTTTGAGTCTAGCTTGTCTTCCAAAGGCTCATGTGTTGATGACGTGGTTCTTAATACCGCAATGTTCAGAGTATTTGGTGGGGGCAGTAATTGGATCATGAGAGCTTTGAGATCATCAGTGGGTTAATTCATTGATGAGCTCATAACTGCATGGATTATTTGGAGGTAGTGAAAACTATAGGAGGTAGAGACTCATCAGAGGAAGTAGATCACGGGAGCTTTGCCCTAGAAGGATGAAAACTCCTGCCCTTATTCTCTCTCACTTTCTCTCTCTCTCTCTCTCTTCTTCCTGGACATTATGATATGAACAGCTTTGCTTCATCATGATGTTGTGCCTCACCACAGACCCATTGTGATAGGACCAAGTGACCGTGGGTTGCAACCACGATCCAAAATAAATTTCTTCTCTTTTAAGTTGTTTTTTTTCTCAGATATTTTGTCACAGCAATGAACAACTGACTAATACAACTCTCAAAATCACTTTTCATAAAATGTTATTCTCTCCTTACCTTCTGTTTCTTCTTTTCATGCTTTCTGGTAATCTTCAAGAATATTTTTCCAATTGGTGTTTTACAGAGAATTCTTTTACCCTCTTTATCTGAATGTTTTCAAGTCTGCTTCTTCAGTACTTATCCTACAAACTACAACAAATCTTTAGACTATGAAAGGCAAATTAAATACTGGCTTTGGATAGGTGTGAGGGAAAGAATATTTTATTGCAAATATATATATATATATATAAAAATCCAATATTGAATAATTATTTTTGTTAGGATTCTGTGGTCATATGAAAGTTTTTAAAGTGTTTTTAAAACAACTTAAATGTAAGAAACTTTCTCTGAGGAATCACATAATTAGCTCCTTAAATAAGAATTTAAGATAATAGAAGGTAATAAGGAATATAGGCAGTTATTCACAGACTGTGTATAATTCTAGCCTTTTGACCACAAAGTAAATAGAAGAAAGCAGTTTGAATTTTATTTCCTGGTGTGATAGAAAAAAATATGGAAAGTTTCAAGAATCTTAACATAGTACAATAGTAAATCGTAATATATCAAATCATATAAAAAAAACAAAAAAGCAAGCAAACAGGCAAAGACCACAAACAAACAATAGAGGTGTGGGAGAAGGTAAGAGAAGCTATGGCTCTTTTACTGATGTAGAAGAACAAGAACGTAGTGTCAACATAGGTGCAGGTGACTTTCAAAACGTAGTTAAGCATCTTTCTTTTATGTAAAGACAAAAACTTTACACAACTATTTTTCTGTTTACAATGTATTATATAAACATATACTCAGAAATATGATCATGCAAGATACTATACACAAAATCATCTACATTTTATTTAATATATATGTAAAAAAGACATTAAATTTGACTACGATTTTTCTATTGATTCTCCAATGTCACTTTATTTAAAGAGGTGCTGTTTCATTGCTTTTAGAATGATTAAGTATGAATCTACGGATATACACAGTGTTGTGTTTGTGTGTGTTAATGTGGGTTTTTTGGTATAACTTTTCATTTCCCCAAAACTGAATATAGTAAAATGTATAATTTTTGAAATATTACTTCTCAGATATATTGTGCTTCCTCCAAATATTTGAATCCTTCCACCATTTTTCATAGGTTATGAGACACAGCCATATTTTCAAAAAGGACAGTGACCGTTTTAATCCCAAAAAGTGCTAAGCAAGAGAATCCCTATATAGTATTAAATTAAGGTCCTCTACAACATTCCCAGTCACACAGTATATTAAAATTCAATATTTTTAGTTTGTAATATTTTTTAGTTTTTTAGATTGTTTTTTGTATCTTTCATGGGACTGCATAATGACAGGCAAACCTTTCCTTGGACTGGAGGAAGCCATCTGGGAAGAAAAGGAGAAAGGCATTTCAGAGTTTAAACATTATTATCCTCGCTTGATTCAAAATCCCTGGCTTTTGGAAGAGAATAAGAATTCATCATCAGACTTGGCATGGGGAAAACAGAGAGATAAAAGCAAGGGAGATATTGAGGTATTTGGACCTGATAGAAAATTCACAGGGATCTCTCATGTTTCAATGGAGATAACAAAAAGCAGTTGAAGTTTACAGTCCTCACAATACACAAGTGCTGTGAGGGCTGGATGCACTAGAAAGGTTTTTATTTCAGAGAACAAATAGGCCTGGAGTTAAGAGACATGGCATTTACAAGCTTGATGAGAGCATTATAGAATTCAGCAGAAAACACATCAGATAGATAACAAGGAGGAGGAGGGAGACTCACCACATGCCATCCATGATACAGTGTCCAAGGTAACTGCAGCAGTCCCTGGGGGACAGACATCAACAACTAGAAGCCAACTGGTAATGAATATCCAAGTGGGATCAATGCCACACACACGTCATGAAGTATATAGACTCCATCCTCTATCCAAATGCCATCTTTGAGAAAATCCAGAAACAGAGAAGAAACAGAAATGAGAACCAGAGAGAAACTTTAATTTACTGAAATGTGAGTACTTAGTGTGAGAAATGTTTTTGTTCAGTGTGGTGGCCATACTATTGTCAACCATGCCCAGCAATAAAGAGTTACTCAGAAAAATTTTGTTCCATGTCTGAGATTAAAATACCTTTAGTTGGCAAGATAAGTGTTTTCTTATCTGACTGTGCAAAAGATAATAATTCAAATATGAACATTTCATTTTTTGACATACAAATCTTAATTTATATTAAATTTGATCTAATCTAACCAATGTATTAGG